AGGCTGGAGCTATTTTCCTTGGCGTGTCGGACGTCGAGGGGTGATCGTATAGAGGTTTATAAAATCATGATTGACATGGATAAGGTAAATAGACAAGTTCTTTCCCCTGAGGTGGGGAGCCCAAAACTAGAGGGCATAGGTTTAAGGTGAGAGGGGAAAGATTTAAAAGGGACCCAAGGGACAACTTTTTCACGCAGAGAGTGGTATATGTATGGAATGAGCTGCCAGAAGAAGTGGTAAAGGCTGGTCCAATTACAACATTTAAAAGGCATCTGGATAGGTACATGTATAGGAAGCGTTTAGAGGGATATGAGTCAAATCCTGCAAATGGGACTAGATGTATTTAGGATGTCTGGTTGTCACGGATGAGTTGAACTGAAGAGTCCGTTTGTGTGTTGTATATCTCTATGACTCTAAAAGCAATGAAAGATGATATTAAGGCAGATGGCCACACTTAATGAAAGAGAAAAATATTTAAACACCATCTTAGAGAAAGAAAAAGAGTTGGAAACATGGTGAGATGTAGCGAGGTAATTCCAGAGCTTCCAGCCTAGGTAACTGAATTCATGATCATCAATGGTAGAGCAATGAAATAATAATTTGTACCCTGAAGTTCCACTTTGATTCTGAATGTTCCAAATATGTCAGAGCTTTCATGAAATATAACTTCACAACAATTATGTCATGAAATGCTTCTTGTTGATTTGAGTGGACAAGGTCCATCAACTGCACAGGGTTTCAGCATAACAGAGAAGAAGTGGAAAGTCCTGTTATATCCTGAAAAGTTTGCTTATAAATTATTAAGAAACTTAGCCTTACACAAAATTGCTATTCAGATACTCCAGTCTCCTGAAAAAAAACTATCTGTGGTTTCATTTAATAAAATGGATCTATTTATTGTGATGGGATGGCGAAGATGGGGACATAAAGGGAACATTGTCAAATTATTCTCCTCAATTATTTCTGGAGGTTTGTCTCCATTTAAATTAATTTAAGGTTTAATCAGTAATTCAAAAGATCCAAAATGATAATTTGAATATTTTCACATAAAGCCTAGTAGTCACTTGTGTTGGTGTAAGCAAAAACCAGATATCTGTCAGTATTCCCATCTCGGCCTTATTATCCATCTAATCCTTCCTTGTCTTTTGAATTCTCTTTCTAACTCTTTCTCTGTCCCTTTTAACAAAAATAGTAGGGGCTTTATACTCATTAAGGCAAAGAATATGGGTTATGGTTAATGAAACATCTTCACACCCATTGTAAGGATCTCATGTACACATTTTATGTACACTATTCAAAGAAAAACAAGAATCTTTCCAGTGTTGTGTCCAATACTTATTCTTCCATCAATATCTTTTAGTTGTATTATAATCTGAGAAGAGAGAATGTATTGGGCTACAGTGAGAAAGCAGTGGAGTGGCACAAGATGAATTTCTTTTTGGAAGAATTGGCAAAGACACAATGGGCCAAATAGTCTCCTTCTGTATTGCAACCAATCTATAATTCTGACAAACGGTAGGCTTTGGAGTGTCACAGGAATTAGTGTTGGGGCCACAGTCAGTTACAATATCAATATTTAAATGACTTGGAAGTTAAAAGGGAGTGAGGTGTAGCCAAACTGCAGATGACACAAAAATAAATGGGAAAGCAAATAGTCAGGACTACACAAAGAGACTGCAGAGGGATTTAGACAAGTTGAACGTGATACAATATAATGTGAAAAAAAATGCAGGTTACACACTTTGGCATTTAGAATAGAAGAGCTAAATATTATCTAATTGGAGGAAAAATGCAGAAAGCTGCAGCACAGAGGGATTTGGGAGTCCTTGTGCATGAGTCATAAAAAGCTAGCATCCAAGTTCAGCAGGTAATAGGGAAGGCAAACGGAATGTTGGCCTTTATTTCAAAGAGAATGGAGTATAAAAATAAGGAAGTGTTATTAAAACTATATAAGCCACCAGCCAGACCATAGCTGGAATGCAGTGAACAGTTTTGTTCCTGTTAATCGAGGAAAGACATACTGGCATTGGAGGCAGTCCAGGGAAGTTTCATGAGATTGGTTCTGGGTGTGGAGTGATTTTCTTATGAGGAAAGTTTGAGTAGGTTGGACTTATCTGCATTGAAGTTTAGAAGAATGAGAGATGAGCTTATTCTTCCTGCTTCATTTATAACCAGCAGAGTAGGCAGCATCCACGCTGTCTGTTTTTCTTTGTTTACTTCTTTTCACTTTTTTTTGCTCTGTTTTGAGTTTTTTTTTAGTGTTTTGTTTTTAATTTACCTTCTGGAGAGAGCCTGGCTGTGGAGGCGACAGCACCAGGGTCTGCGGTTGGGGCCCAGGACAGGACTTTGGCTCTCGGTGACGAGACGCCTGGTGAGCCAAATGGAACTCTGGTATTTGGCAGCATTCTGGCATCACCGGGTCCGGGGCAGTCGACAGCGAGGCAGCTGGTCAGTCTGGGTGGCGATTGACGACTGGCGAGCCCGGGTGGGACTCTAGCGGTCGCTGGTGAGACGGCAGCACAGAGGAGATCGATCCCAGCACGGAGAGGGATCCCTTGTGGGGGAAAGCACAGTGTGGAGCATCTGCAGGCCCATGCCTAAAGAAGGGCTGTGCTGCTGAACTTCTAGCTTTATTTCTTTATTTTTCTACTTTGTGCTGAAGATTTTGTACCTCGTACCTTTGTACGTAAGATGGCACCAGGAATGGCAACTTTGTTAACTTTTCACCATACTCCTGTATCCCTGTACTTTAGCACACGTGATAATAAAATCTAATTATAGTTCTAATTCTATTGAAACAAACAAGGTCAATAGGGGGTGGGGGTTGACATAGTAGACACAAAGAAATTGCTTCCCCAGGACCAGAGTAAGGAGTCACCAGTTTAAGGTAAAAAATTAGAGAAATTTCTTCTCTCAGAGGGTAGTGAATCTGTCTAATTCTTTATCATAGAAAGCTGTCGATGCTGGATCATTAAACGAATTTAAGCCTGAGATGGACAGAGTTTTAATCAGCAAGCCGAATGGCAATAATGGGGAAATGGCAGGAAAGTGCAGTTGAGGATTGTCATATCAGTTGTGAACTCAATGAATGAAAGAGCAGAATCAATGGGCCAAATGGCCTACCTTCTGCTCTCACATCTAATGGTCATATGGTATTATTTATCTCATTGTTGTTTGTGGGAACTTGCTGCATGTAAGTTGAACATTGTGTTTCTTACATCAAAACAGAGACCCATAAATTAATAGGAACAGAGAGGGGTGGTGTTGTGATACTGCATACAATTATGATAACGTAAGTGTGCATCTTTAAGAAGGTTAAGTAGTGACATCAGTGTGACATTATACCATGTGATATTCTTGTATAAAGAGTTCAGTTCCATCTTGAATATTTACAGCTGCACTTTGCAATCCAACTGGAAAGTCAACCAGTTTGAGCCCAAACTATTCCAATGTCTTTAACGGAGTTGCTCTATGAATAAATCGTCTGATGCTTGTTCACAGTAAGAACCCAGTCTTCCTGTTCCCAGAGTCATAATATTTCTAGAGAACACATCAGATGGTACATTTGTGTATGGATTGGAACAGCCTACACTGTTGAGACATTGAATGAACAACCCAGTGCTTCCCTCCTCGACCACACACACACACACACACACACACACACTCTATTTACAACTACGTTGGTGCGGTGTGGAGGCGAAATCAGATGGCCAAGCTCTGATATAGTCATTTCATTCATCTGCAGTTATGAGAGGCATTTTAATGATGAGTGGTGAAACAGTACACAGTTTCTTTCATTGTTCTCCGCTCTCCAATATGGCTGGCTCAAGAAAAACAGAGTGGATAAATTGTCAAAGATCATCCATGAAAGATGGCAATATCATGTGACTAAGCCAGCGGTCAAGGCTAATTCATAGGAAACACGTGTTTAGATTCCATCCAGGCACTTGGTGAAAGCTAGAATGTAATTGATTCAGACCCAGCAACAGTGGAGGAGGTGATATGTTGCCAACGTGAAATTACAGGTGATGATGTAGTTCCAAGTGAAACTGGTGACTGGCTTGGTGGGAAAATTGTAGATTGTGGTCCTCACATGGTTCTGTTGCCCTTGTCCTTCAAGGTGGTGGAAATTATGGGTTTGGAAGCAACATTGGGTGAGTTACTGCAGTGCATCTTGTTGATACATACTGCTGCCTCTGTGCACTGGTGGTGGAGAGAATAAATGTTTTAGGTGATGGATGGGGGTACCAGTTCAGTAAGATAATTTGCCCTGGATGGTACCAAGCTTCTTGAATGTTTTTTGAACTGCAACCAACCAGGTAAGTGAAGGGTTTTCCGTTGCACTCCAGACTTGTGCCTTGCAGATGGGATGGGAGAATGGAATGGTTAATTTTTTAAAATTCATTTGTGGGATGTGGGCATTGCTGGCTGGCCAGCATTTATTGCCCGTCCCTATTTGTCCTTGGAAGGTTGTGGTGAGCTGCCTTCTTGAATCATTGCAATCCTTGTGAATAGAAATGCTTTCTTGAGCAGAGGGTAAATATCAACATTGATTGGTTGTCCTGATTTCACTGTTTCCACATTATAGTATTTGAAATATGTTAGTATGCTCATAAAGTGCAAGAGATGATTCGGTATTAGTGCATATTCCAAATATAACTTTCATTTCCAACCTTAAACCCCTCAGATACTCAAAATCACCCAAGAGTGTTCAAATCTGCTTAAGTATAAATGCAATAAGAGATAGATACGGTGCACTTTGCATATTGTCATGTTATATTGTCAGATTGTGAGGTGCTTTCTTGTGTATAGGTGAAAATGGAACAATTGGAATGGCTGGAGATAACAAAAATAAGTATTTTACAGTCTATAGTGATGTATCGTAAATTCTTTGTATTGTCATGCTACCTCCCAGTAGAATGAATTAAAAAAAAAGAGCTTTTAGTCATGTTCAAGATAAACTTAAGAAGACAAAATGCTTTACAGAGAATGTATTAAAGGAAGATTAGAATCTTTTTTCTTGCACTTTCAGAAATAAAAATACATTTTTTCTAGGCGAGCTTTCTGTAGATTGGATGCTATTCTCATTGTAACAATAATGCTGTCACCTGGAAAATAAAAAAAAAGTTAAGCAAACATCACATATCTGTGTAGACATATCAGAATAAGAATTTTGAATGACATCTTTACTGTCTGTTAATATCCTTTTAAGTAACTCTTGTCAAATATACGTATAATTATCTCTTGCATTTTGTCATTATTATCCTTATGCATTTAGCACTGAAAATCAAATCTGCAAGCCCATCTCATGTTACATGCTGTCCTCCTTAATTTTATGAAACTACCTGACTAAATGGACATTGTTTATGGGGCAGACATCTATTGCCTTAGGTAAAAAGACACTTAAGCAGAGTGCACTGCTCAGTCAGATGACGCAGATTATACTGCCAACTGAGTTCAATGTTAGTGAAGCCCTGTGGCAGCAAGCTATTCATATGCACAGGCCCTAAGCTCTGTAATTTTCTTCCTAAACCTTTCTTCTCCTCTTTCTCGCCTTCGAGGGTGATCCTTAAAACCCACTTCTTTGATGAAGATTTTGGTCACGACTCTTAATGTGTGGCCCAGTGCCATATTTTGTTTGTTAAAGCTCCTGTTAAGTTTGGGATGTTTCAGTGGGTTAACGGTGCTATATAAATGCAAGTTGTTGTTTATACTGCTACAGTTATGAACTTGAAGAATTGGAACTATACCTATTAGTGTTGGTGTTACAATTTTCAGGCTATTTTACTAGGGAAGCAGATCATTGATGTCATGTAACCCTGATTTTACTGTCACTTCCACTGCCTTGCACACCTGAAATTGCTTTGCTTCAATAGGAAAGTAGCAATATCACTATTCCCCTTAGGCAATTGTCTGGCACTAAATGCATATATTTACTGCCAAGCTGCTGACACCAAGTACAATTTTCTGTTGTTTAACTTACAGCTGACAAAAAACTAAAAAAAGGTCCAATGAGATGTTTATTCAAATGATTCAACTTCATCACAAGAAGCAAAAATAAGGCAGCTAACCTGTGCAAGTAAACATTCACTTCTGGAGCTCAACTAGTAAAGGATGTGATATAGGAAGATGATTTAGATCGTGCTTCATTGAGAATGAAGTGTTTATTTTAATGAAGATGTACACTAAGCCTGAATTTGCTTTTTTTAAACCAGCATTGCCCACATCAGGGCAGTCATAAAATGGCCTGGGAATTCATCAGTAGAATTGGTCAACAAAGTTTCTGAAGCTGTTAGGCATGCATGCTGCAAGCTGTCAGAAGCATATAATTGATTTAAAACTCAATGAACACACAATCAATGTTCTGCAGTGGAGAACAGACCATTCTGGAAACAAATTTGAAAGTGAAAAATTGTTGCGCATGAAGTGAACAGTCTCTAAATCTAGTAACACTCACCTTTACTGGCTCCATCCCCGCCTCTTCGACCTGTTTGTTTCCTCTCCACCTATCCTCTCCTCTATCCCTCTTATATCCGCCTCCCACTCTCTCCCTATTTATTTCGGAACCCCCTTCCCCTCCCCCTTTTCTGATGAACGGTCTAGGCCCGAAACGTCAGCCTCTCTGCTCCTATGATGCTGCTTGGCCTGCTGTGTTCATCCAGCCCTGCACCTTGTTGTCACTGTGTAGTCTTCCTGCTCCTCTGATGCTGCTTGGCCTGCTGTGTTCATCTAGCTCTAAACCTTGTTATTTCTAGTAACTGTTAGGTTTGTTTTTAAAGTTATATTTATATATATTGTTGTCAATGCAATAAAAGCAAAATACTGCAGATGCTGGGAAATCTGAAATGAATGAAAGAAAATGCTGGAGAAACTCTAAGTCTGGCAGAATCTGCAGTGAGAAGAGAGTTGAAGCAGAGTTAACATTTCAATTCTGATATGACTCTTCTTCAGAACTGCAAAGAAAATGGTGATTTTTATACTTATGACAGAGGCAGAGGAGGAGCGAGGGACAGTTTGGAGGCCCAGTACAAAAGACAAAGGGTCACTAATTGCAATGAAAGAGAAATAAAGATGTAGAATGGGTGTAACTTAAAATGTGAAAGTGAAAACATGGGTCCTCTCTGCTGACAGCAATGTAAACCAGACAGAAACAATAAAAGCCCATGAAGGTTGGAAGGGAATATAAGAAAAATGGAGGACAGACACGATGTGGTCAGGCTCTGAAGCTGTGCAATTCAACATTGAGTCCTAGAAGCTGTAAATTACCTAAGCAGAAAATGAGGTGTCATAGCTTGAGGCTTGTGTTGTGCCTCATTGGAACATGACAGCAGGCCCAGGACAGATGTTTTAGCATGAGACCAATGTGGCTTATTGAAATGCTGAGCAACAAAAGTTTCAGGGCATTCCTACAAGCAGGATAGGGGTTTTTCTCAGTGCAGTTACCCAGACTGCGTTTGGTCTTTCCAATGTCGAGGAGACTACATTGTGAGCAGTGAACAAATTAGATGTGTTGGCACCATCAGCTTTTATTAGCTATCCCTAGTTTCATTGAACCGATGATGGTATATTGCTTTTCTCAGTCAGGTAAGAATTACCACGTCGATGTCGGACCTGAGTCGTTTATTGAACTAACTGGGTAGAGATGGCAAGCTTTCTGTCCGTGAAGGACATGAGTGAACTTTTTGGGTTTTATTTTATAACAATTTGGATACTTTTATTTAAACTTAATTCATATTCTACTGTAGTGACATTTGAAATAATTTTCTGGATAGTTAGCCCAAGATTTTGGATTTGGATTCAAGACACTTTGTACTCTTCTCTGATACTCATTCAAAAACTCTTCATAAACGTGTCTATTCAAATTTACTGATAATATTAAACAAAGACTTGCAAATCTTATTTTAAAAGCTCCTATGACTCACTTGAAACAAATATATTGATTGCAAGCTCTTAATTAAGTTTATAAAGAATGAGTTTATGATTCAACTTCATAATGCACATAGAGGAACTATTCTCTATTATTGATTTTCTGGGGCAATCTTGTAAAATCTATCATTTATAAGAGCATTTCAAAGTTAATCAATATAAATACCCTTCCTTGCCTCTACAGATGAATCTGCTCCCCCCCAACTCCTCAAAATCATTTCAAGATCCTATCAACATCTTGTTGGATGTAGAGAGGAGGAGGAAGATGTAAACTTTGAGGGATAACTGATACTTAATTGTGTCAGATCTATTGGGACGAAGATTTGTGTTTTCTTTGAACAGACATGAGGAAGACAATGGGAGATTACCTAAAGTATTCTTATCTCTAATCATAGCGCACATTAAAATTGAAAATCTGAAGCTTCTATGAGCAACTGAAGAGTTAAAAGCAAGTTCATGAGGCATGGGGAAATGAGACTTCCATTTTGGCCTCTCATTAATACAATATGTCAAACAATTAAATCATAAATGAGACCCTAAAGCAGATCAATGTGGGGCACCATGAATCACATCCCGCCAAATACAGCACTCGACCTTGATCCCTACGTTCTCTCTTCTGCTATTGAGAAAATGTCCTAACCAGATCAAACCTTCCCATCAATTCCATGAACCTCAACTTTAGCCAGCAATCTCTTCTGGTGGACTTTGTTTAATTCTTTCTGGAGGTTCACATAAAAGAAAAAAAAGAAATTCCATAGATCTTCCCCTTTTTAAGACCAAGTTTCATTTCACACATGAGGTTGGTTATAACAGTTTTAAAGTTTTGGGTCTGAACAGCTCTGGAGGAACTCGACCAGAAACATAAAAGTTGTTCCCTCTTCACAGATGCTGTCAGACTGGATAAGGAGGAATTGGATAAGAACTGAACGCAAAGGTTATTGAACTTTGTGAAGAAAGTAGGGCAGTGAGATTGATTTTGATGTGATAAAAACAGAAATTGCTGGAAAAACTCAGCAGGTCTGCATTTTGAAGAAGAATCACTGGACCTGAAATATTAACTCTGCTTTCTCTCCACAGATACTGCCAGACCTGCTGAGAATTTCCAGCAATTTATGTTTTTGTTTCAGATTTCCAGCATCCCCATTTCTTTGTTCTTTCTTTGGCTAAAGTAGTGTTTGTTTTATAAAGACATTGGTTTTCTAAGTCAATATGTACTTGACCATGAGCAAAGCTGTGAAGAAATAAGTCAGACAGAGCTTTCCAATGAACAAAATTAAGGAATTAGTTTTATTGTAACCTCACTTATGTAAAGTATGAAATGTATTACAAAGGTGGAACCCATTCTGACTGCTGTGACATCCACACATATACTAGCATTCAGAAGAGAACTAGTTATAGAGGACAAGGAAGGAGGAATTGGAAAAAATAGTCAAAGGTACGTAAATAAAAAGAATAAGATGTTCCAAGATTCCTTTAGTGGTCTTGAGGTTCTGATGGGATTGCAAGCAATGTAAGCTCATTGTTCTTCTGGAAACAATCCCTTTTAAACTGCCATCCATTCACTTCCACAGTTGGTGCTTAGATACTTGAAGTTCCTTTCATATTTTGGAAAATTCTCTATCTCAGTGATGCATTCCAACTTGTAACAGAGATAGCTATGTTTCATACAAAGATGCACGTAGTTGTGGAAACTGCACCTGGCAGTGCTCCAGCATTGATAAGGCGTGGACACAGATGCCTTCCAACTGAAAGGATGGTTTATTTAGCCCACTGGCATTCAGTAAAGTGGTTGCTGCTGAATGCTAGACAGGGACGGAAGTGGGGAATGCTGTCAGTTCCCCCCCTCACCTACTCCCCCAGTCCACACTGAGCCCATAGTTTCCATGTATCTCGTCCACAAGGAACTCCTGACTTCTTACCCGACTTATGGAACTTTAGCTTTAGTAGGGCTATCTGCACATAGCCATAAAATCATAAGACATACGGTGGCCATTCAACCCATTCATTGAGTCTCCTCCACCACTCAGCGAGATTGTGGTTGAGTTGATAATCCTCAACTCCTTTTTCCTATCTTTTCATATCACTCTTGGTTCCATTAATGATTAAAAATCCAACTCAGCCTCGAATATAGTTAATGACCAATCCTGTGTAGCTCTCTATAGTCAAGAATTCCACAGATTCAGCACATTTTGAGAAAGAAATGCGTTCTCATTGTTGTCTTAAATGGGAGACCCCTTATTCTGAGATTATGCCCTCTTGTCCAAGACTCTCCCAGAAGGGAAAACAATCTGACCGTTTCAACACTGCCAACTCCCATACAAATCTTATATGGTTCAATAATGTCTCCTCTCATTTGTCTAAACTCCATTGAGTGCAGGCGCAACCTCTAAAACCCTGAGTTGGAAACAGTCTTGTTCTAACAACTTGTTACTCTTCCATGCTATTATTTTCTTCTTCATTGTCAATTTACGTACGTTAACCATGGTGAAGCTCTTGTCGCTAATCAAAAATGCATTTTCTTGGGATGTTCAGTATGTCCGTAATTTCCCTATTTTTGTTGACAATAACACCCATTTATCAGCTGTGTCTCAGCAATAGCTTCCACGTCATACCCTCCAAGTTGAATTTGTGCCTGTAGTTCATTCAATTTGTTCCTTATGCTCTGTGTGTTTGTGTAAAGAATGCTTAATGGGACCACACACCCTGACCTGTCCGTTGGCTCTGATGTTTTTCTCACACATTCCTTCTGTCTTTTCCTGATTTAATTACCTTCCATCCTCCTTAACTGTAGTATCTAGTGCACAGTTTCTATTCTTCTACTCACTTATTTCCATTTTAGAATTATTGTTTATGATACCTTCTCCACCTGAAACTTCCCCTGGCACACATCCCCACATACCTCCTTTACAAGGTAAAGTTGCCTATATATCTTTGCTAAGTCCCTTCCTATCCCAATACTGGGTCCCATGAAAAGATGGATAGAGGGCAGCAGTAAAATATAATAAAAACTGAAATACGGCAAACGTTTATTAAATGTATTCTGCTCCAAACTACCCTGACACGAAAATATATTATTTTTCCCCTTCCATTTTTCTCTCAGATGAAGCTTTAAAAATGTTTTTTTAAAATAAAAAGTAACTGCACGCCACTAATCAGAGCCAGCCGGAGGAAGTGACATTAAACCAAAAATTCATCAACTGAGGTCTGTCAGTTTTCAGGGCTTTGAGTTGTGTGAGGTCTGCTGTGTCACGCACTGGCACAGTGGAGGCACATAGGCTGCAAAGCGAGGCAGAAGGAAGCAATCTTAAAAGCGACAGATCTGCTTTTTGGAATAGCTGCACATACATGGCAGAAGGCCAAAGTGGCCTGGTGCCAACAACAACCTTAACAAGTTTGTTCTGAAAGAAATACTAACAAGTGGGGGTGATGCTGCTGGTGGGGCTGATGGAGGCTGGTGGGAGTGGTTGGGTGGATGGGTCCTCACAAGTGCCTGAGTGGAAACAGCTTTGGAAGAACTGGGCTTTTGACAAAACGGGTTGCGTGGCAGACCCTAGTAAGACAGACAACGCAGTCAGGCCAAATTCCTCAGCGATGGGCCAAAGGAACTGAAGCTTGTTTTTTTCAAATAACCCAGATGAAAATGGTGCAGAGTCCGAACCTCAATGAAAACGTAGCCAAAATTTTTTTTTTACAGCTTTGATCACTCCTGACATTTGAAAAGGCTCGAAGCCCTGTGATTAGTACTTCCCATGACAAAATGGCACTATATCAAGGTTTGCAGGGGACGGGGTGGGGGGTAGATGTTGTGGGGGGGGGCAAGGGTTGGTGACTGAGGGTGGTGGCTGGGAGTTGGGGTTGGAGTCGGTTTGCCAAACTTGCAAGATATCTTCAAGAATTGAAGACTGATCTGCTGGCCATTGCTTCTTGCAATTCCAGTGAAAAATCAGAGGGGCATTTCAAAAAAGACATACTTTCTTTCTGTTACTCAGTTAAGTTTTGCAGATGTTGAAGACTGAGGAGGAGATATGAAGGGTCGTTTAACCAAAGATCGAGAACTAAGCATTCAGGTATTTTCGGGATTTGTTGCTTTTCCGTCGAGCATGGGAAGGCGAGGTGTTGAGGGAATGAGTATGTCGGGGTAAAGATGGCAGGAGTGTGAGCGACCAAGAGTTTGACAGGGGAGTGGGGTCTTAGAGGTCATGTGCTGATACTTCCAGGAATATGTCCTACCAGGTTAGGGTTGACAACCTCATGGTGGGAGGTGGAAATTATTCTCTCTGGTTATGTGCGGATTTGGAATTTACTGCAGGATTATTTTGTGTGCTGCTTAACAGTCATAAAATCGACAGGTGAGCAACTATCATAAACTTGCTTCAATGTAAGTGCACCAAAATGCAAGAGGAGATGAAAGCCTAAGGGCCTCAAAGTTAAGTAGAGGGATATACTACCGCTTTGTGTGAAATTCCTCGCACTGCTATTCATTGGAAGCATTAGCTCATTTTATTTTAAGCAGATCAATGCTTCTGCTACAACAGGAGAGAAAGGAATTTCAGATGGACAACTTACTGCCCTGCCATGTAACCACAAGACCAGGGAATTTTATTGTACTGGCGGATTTTGGTCCTGTTGGCAGCTTTACAACTTTGAATCTTTTAAATTTCTATAGAAAGTAGATACCTGGCAATAATTACCAAGCACTGACCCATCAATAGATGATGTCATAAGCCACAAGAGGGAAGATTGAGCAATTTTGTATTGTCGTTTGGACCCTGAGATGAGATTACTGCCTGGCAATCCCTTCTATCTCTTATAATATACAGATGGCGAGCTTGGTTTACTTAGTTTTATTTTAACCTCCAGTGTTTGATGTTTGACGAATGCTGAAACATGGGGTAGGCCATGAAATGATTCCTGCCTGTGTGTTCTTTGAAATATGAACAAATCTAACACAATCATTTTAGGTTTATTGGGTGTAGTTGACTGTCTATAAATAATAGAGCGCAGCTATATAACACGATCTTGATTTTCCTGTCCACTCTCCACCTCAATCCTGGCTTTAGCTGTCAGTATTAGCTCAATCTGTAACACTGTTGGCTCTAATTAAGAAGTTGAGGAGGATTGCTCCACTGTCAGTCTGTTATCTTAAACCAAAAACTCTGTCTTCCCTTTCATATGAAAGTAAAAGGTCCCCGGTAACTATTCAATGCAAGTGGACCTCTCCTTATGTCCTGATCAATACTCATGGCTCAATCAACAACTACTAATTGATCTTTATTTCGTTGCTGGTACTGGGATCTTGCTATTCACAAATTGGTTATTGGATTTCCTATGTCACAACAGAGAGTATACTTCAAAAGTGCATTAATGTCTGTAAAGTGGAATGTCCTGAGATTATAAAGTTGAAAGCAAATCTTTCACTCTCTTTCTTCCTTTCTCTCTCTCTTTCTTTCTTTCTTTCTTTCTTGCTTTCTTTCTCAATTAGGGATAGGCAATAAATGCTGGTAACAACATATCCCAATTCAATAAGACAGTTAAAGGGCACCAATTGTTGTATGGTGGAGCTACTTGCATGCAAATTAGGTGCTGTTATTCTACATTACAATAGTGATGGCGCTTCAAGAGTATCTCATTGATACCAAAAGTCTTCAGAACCTCTGGTGGTCCTGAATGGTGCAAGTCTTCCTTCTTTTTCTTTCTTGTGATACACCTTCATTCCATGGAGAAATTCATAGCTCAGATTGACTTACCTGGTGAGAAAAATTGGCAAATTACACAAAGTGAGAAAATGATAGCAATAGACAAATGATTGGGAGGAAGAAAAAGCAGGTTAGTGTCACAGGACAAGAATCTTCATCAAAACCACATTGCTTTGAGTCTAGAGCTACATATAGGCCAGACTACATAGAGATTTCCATCCTAAACGACGTTAGTGAATCGGATGGGAGTTTACAACAAAGTGACAAGGAAAGTAGATCTTTTAGCACCTCAAGCTTGTCCACCATACACTTAAGTCATGACTAATTCATGTTTTAAATAAATTGACCTGCCTCAACTCTGTAATTGCTTAACAAATATCTATCGGCCTCAATTTTCTTAAGCGAGAAGGCAACAAGCTTGAGACATGAGGCCTAATTACAACAAAGAATCTCGAATTTAGTCTTAAACTAGTTTATATCAGAGATGACCCAGCTATGTAAAATCACTAACAATACAGTGTGAGTTGGTATTGATTGGCTGGATTTACCAATGACAGGGTGTGGAAGGATATACCACCACAATAAATCATGACTGCAACAATGTTTGTGCTATTCTCTCTCCACCACACCCATACTTAGTTAAGAATTTGTTCACTGCCCTACAGGATTGTGTACTGACGCATACAGGTAAGTATGTAAATCTATCTGCCAACTATTTTCCTCTTGGTTTTGCCTCTAAATGCATTTCAAACTGTTCTCCATTAAATCCATCTCTGCATCATGTTGAGGCAGTATCACGCGTGTGGGGAAAATAAAAAATAAAAACTGAGCTATGAGTTAAACAATAAAATGGCCTGAAAAACAGAAGAAGCTGAAAACTTTAGTTTATGTATTCTTTTTCTTTCCTCCATTAATAGAAATTGCCTATTTTACACTAGATAGTGTTCCCAACCCGAAACGTCAACTTTCCTGCTCCTCTGATGCTGCCTGGCCTGCTGTTTTCTTCCAGCTCCACACTGTGTTATCCCTGACTCCAGCATCTGCAGTTCTTGCTATCTTGAAGCTCAAGGCGGGTCAGTTTGTTGTCTACATGAAATAGGAGTGTCCAATGGACGTCTTTGGGTCATGGAAAACCGGTGATAACTTGTTTTAAAATACATTCATTGGATGTGGACATCATTGGCTGGGCCAGCATTTATTGCCTATCACTAGTTGCCCTTGAAAAAATGGTGATGAGTTGCCTTCTTGAACCGTTGCAGTTCACTTGGTGTAGGTAGACCTACAATACCATTAGGGAGGGAGTTTCAGGATTTTCCCCTAGCAGCATTGAAAGAACAGCAATATATTTCCATTTCATGGTAGTGAGTGGTTTGGAGTGGAACTTGGAGCTGGTGGTATTCCCATGTATCTGCTACCCTTGTCCTTCTAAATGGTAGTGGTCATGGGGTTTGAAAAGTGCTATCTAAGCAGGCTTGGTGAATTTCTACTGCTCATCTTGTAGGTCATACATACTGCTGTTAACATAGAACATAGAACATAGAACAGTACAGGCCCTTCGGCCCTAATCCTAAGGTCTATCTAACCTCCACCCCTACCTTATACTATCATCCATATGCCTATCTAATAGCTGCTTAAGTGCCCCTAATGAGGCCGACTCCACTACCCTCTCCAGCAATGCATTCCACGCCCCTACCACTCTCTGAGTAAAGAACCTACCTCTGATGTCTCCCCTATATCTACCTCCACTCACTTTAAGACTATGCCCCCTCGTAATAGCTACCTCCACTCTAGGAAAAAGTCTCTGGCTGTCTACTCTATCTATACCTCTGATCATTTTGTACACAAAATGAGTTACTAAGTGTCGATGGTGGAAGGAGTGAATGCCAATGGGTGTGATGCCAGTTAAGCAGGGAATGGTTTTATGCTTTGTGAGTGTTGTTGGAGCTGCACTCATCCAGGCAGTTGGAGGGTTCTCCATCACATTCCTGAATTGTGCGGAGTGGGCGGTGAACAGCATTTGCGGAGGCAGGAGGTGAGTTACTTGCTGCAGGATTCCTAACTTCTAACCTGCTCTTGGAACCACAGTATTTATAGAGCTCATCCAGTTCAGTTTTTGGTTAATGGTAACCCCCAGGACATCGATAGCTTTTATAATGAAAACAAATTACCAAAATTGCATATCACTTCTTTAAATATAGTAATTTTAAAAAAAGCCTCACTCATTCTGTTTCATTACATTTACTTGCCTCAAATAACTTTTTTACCGCCTGATGGTTAACAATCAGTAACACTGCTTCTATTTTTACATTCAGTCATGATTATTTGTTGATTAGAATTGCTTTATACTGATTCTTGACATTGCTGTCACTTGCTAGGCAACATTATAGTCCATCTCCAATTGCACATGAGAAGGTGGTAGTGAGTCATTTTCTCAAGCCTCTGTAATCCATTAAATTACACAAGCTATCAGACAGTTTGTTGCAGGATTTTGACCCAGTGGCTACGAAGAGGCAGGACTATCTTTCCGTGTCAGACTAGTGCGTGACCTGGAAGTGTCCAAAATGTCACACGTGGACAAACGCTGTCTTGATGCTCAGAACAGACCTCAACCTTCATCTATGGAAATGAACTTTTTTTCAGTTTTTTACCCTTCGTTCTATAAAATCTGGGGCTGAGAGACCCAGGTGAACACAGGTTGGGCATGGTAAACCGGTTAATTGATCAGTAAGTACCACTTGATCGCCTTGGCAATTGTGCCTTCCATCACTTTGTTGATGATGATGGTAGTCTGATAATTGTAAATGGGCAGATGGGATGGCCTAGACCCAAAACGTCAGCCTTCCTGCTCCTCTGATGCTGCTTGGCCGGCTGTGTTCATCCAGCTCTACACCTTGTTATCTGGGATTTCTGTTGCTTTTTGTGGGTTGGACATAGTTGGGCAATTTTCTACCTTGTTGGGTAGACACCAGCATTCTAGCCGTAGTGGCACACCACGGTTGGGGGCATGGCTAAGTCTCTAATACTAACCTTCAGCACAGTCACAAGGATATTCTCATAACTCTTGCTGTATTCAGAATGTGTAGCCACTTCTTGATATCATGTGAAATGAATTGAATTGGGATGGGCAATGCAGGGAACTTCATGAGGCCAAGTTGAATCATCCAGTTGGCACCGAGATGGTGGCTAGTGCTTTTGCCTCGTCTTTTGGTTTGCACATGTTGGGCTGCAATAATGAAGATAGGGTGTACTTGGAACATCCTCTTCCTATTACTTGTTTAAATGTCTACCAACACTGTTGACTGCACCAGAATGCATGATGGCTAACAGAAGCTTTTGGAACTGTAAGGGAAGCAAGTTACTAATGAAGTGCCATAACCAGAAAGAACAAGAGGTTCTTATACGAAACTAGATGACATTATTCTGATATGTTGCCCATTGAGGACAAAGAGTTCAGTGTAATGTTTCTAATTCTAGGTAGGCAAAAGCAGGTGGCTCAAACACTGATAATTCACTTTTAAAGGATTTTATTGATTTTCATGATCCACAAATATTTGTTCTCATATCAGTTGGGTTAAGTCACCATGACTCTTTTAGCTTTAAGACCAACAAAAAAAAAATGCTCTGATATTTTCAAAACACTGCAATGGCAAGGCATGAAATTACTTTAGGGACTTAAAACATAACTGTCCCACAGCACTGCTGGAGGAGTTCTGCAAGTTTAGGCTCATTTAGAATCAGTCAGCCAAAGTATAACTTTATGGCAGTGACAACATCAGAAACAACAGTCTCCAGAAGAACATTACAAATCTACAAGTTTTGTTGGGAAAATCAAAATCTGTTCATCTGTATTGTACAACTGAATGACGCAAATGTTTATTTAAATAACTTGAACCCTTAACAATTATGGTTTTCAGGAGTTGTACATACTTTACTAATTGCTTATTGATTGTGTTTATTTGTATTCAGTGCTGAGTATTAACCAGAGTTAAACAGTTATGCTACAGTCAAAGCCCTTGTGACACAGTGATAGTATCTCTACCTCTGACCCAGGAGGCCCACGTTCAGGTCCCACTTGCTCTAGTAGGTGTATCATGACATCTCTGCAGAGGTTTATTAGGAAAATATCTACTTGTGATTAATAAAGATGCAAGTTAAATCTGTGATTGTAGTTTTTTGGAGCTGTGTCTTTGGAGATTGTATTTCTGTAAATTAAAGGTAAATATTGGAATCCAGTTGTGTCCTACACCAGTTGGCTTTCTGGCATATCACACCCTTGATATTTTTCTTATTCGTTCTCCAAGTTCCGCACTATTTTCTGCTACAAATTGCATTATATTTCATAGGACTTGTGCAGAATTCAGAGTCAGAAACAGGTCATTCAGCCCACCTGGTCTATGCTCATATATAAACTCCACATAAGCTTCCTCCAACTCCTCTTCACCTCACCCTCTCGACATATCCTTTGCTTTCTCTCAAAGCCATCTCTGTTATTCTCCGCAAGGTCTCATTGCAGGAGCAAGCTCCATATTCTCCGTAACATTTTTACTATACAAGATTGATGTTGCTCAACAATCTGCAGAGTGAATGCATCCATCACCCACAATAGAATGGTCCAAGTAAGGCTAGGAAGTTGTTAAGGGCAGAGTGTGAATCTGCCTGAGCTGTCTCAAACAGTTGGTGCCACTGTTTTCTACTGAGGTGGTCTCTCCAGCTTCTCCACCTCCCAAGTCAGTGGTAGCGTTTACTCAAAGGGAGATTTAAGAAAAGAGAAAACAAAAATCCAGCAAAAGCTTTGCAAGTGGTTCTAGATCTAGGATCTTGTGTCTACCAAATGAATCCCTAAACATTATCAGTAGAGATTCTTTAGGGCAGAATTTCCATTTCAATTCAGAGACTTAAGTTTAGCTTCTTTGTTTGCAGTGGGGTTGATGGATGTTTAAAATTAATTTACAGGATGAGGGCATCACTGGGCAGGCCAGCATTTATTGCCCATTCCTAATTGCTCAGAGCACAATTTAAGAGTCAACCACATTGCTGTGGGTCTGGAGTTA